GTCAGCCTGGTCAGGCTTTATTGTGAGTAAATATACAATGTCTTCTAGGCCTTTTTGAAGTACTGGGCATGATTTAATTAATTCTATTAATAGTAATTCTATTACTATTACTATTACTATTATTGCTATTATTATTATTACTATTACTATTACTATTATTATTACTAATATTATAAGAGGTGACATTCTGGTATTGGAAAGATGTGGGTTCAAATCCCAGATATATTGCTTACTAGCTTTGTAATATTAGATTGTTTATTTGAAACAAACATTACCACCTTTATATGAGTTTTTGGGTATCGATTTAAATAATATCGAGAGGAAATAATATACATGTCTTATTTTTAGAATGAACACAAATCTAAGATTATCTATGGGGATCTTCAACAAGAATTCTTTGATTATGATTATTTCAGGAGAGGTAGTTTAGTTGATGGTAAAGAGCCAGTAGGAAAAATTGAGGGGATGAAGATGGGCAGCACACTATGTCTCAGTGTGAAGGTTCCAGAGCTGATCACTCCTTTTCCCCCTAGGCTGCTGCTATCCAACACTTAGAATCTGCAAGCACTGAGCTGAGCAAAATCCTGAAGGCCAAGTACCCCACAGAGATGATCATCGCAACTAGGTCAATCTTTCTTTAGCTCTTAACTTTTGGGATGTTTTTGCCCCTCATGGGCTGTTCCTCGGTTAGAGATGGGGCTCATTTTGATAGCTTGGGGTATTGAGGCCAAGGAAAGTACACTAAGTCCTCACTTGACATCATCAATAGGTTCTTAGAACAATGGTAAAAAATGTACAATGAAATCAATTATACCATAAGCTAATTGATATAAACAAGAGCTAAGTTCCTACAGCATCTTATTGACATTATAACAAAATGACATTGAACAAAAAAATGTTATTCGAGAGCCTCCTGTATATGTTTATTTTCTGAAATCAAATTTCTTCCAACTCGAACCTCCTGGAAAGTTTAGGGAACAAAATGAGATTGGGGTAAGGACTCCTGCTACTCCAAAAAGACAAAATTGCAAGCCAGAAATTTGGAAGAAGGGGAGGACTTCTGGTCAAGATGGCAGAGTAGGTAAATGCTGTGCTTGCCTCCTCCCATGACCACATTAAAATTATAACTAAGCTACAGAACAACCATCATTGAGAATTGCCTGAAGTCTAGTTGAGCAGAAGTCCTAAAATTAAGAGTGTACAGAAGAAGCCACCTCGAGACCAGTAGGAGGGGTAGAGACACAGAACAGGGAGATTCCACACCAGTAGGTGTGGCAGTTAAGAAATGGGAGGGATATCTCAGCTGCAGAGGACCCTTGAGGAGCAAGGGTCCCAGCCTCACACCGGTTCCCCAGCCCAGGGTTCCAGTGTCAGGAAGAGAAGTCCCCACAACTTCTGGCTGTGAAAACCAGCAGAGATTATGGCTGAGTGAGACAAAGGGCCACTGGAGTCACAGACATTCCTCTTAAGGGGCCTGTATGCGGACTTACTCGCTGACTGACTCACTTGTTCTGATATCCAGCCCCGGGGGCAGCAGCTCCAGAGGTGCCAGGGACATACAGGGATGAACTAAGTTGTTTGGCTTTGGGGAAAGGGATTAAGGGGAAGCTTTCTCCCAGACAGAAGGGCTAGCAGAGGCTATGATTCTTTTGTTGAGCTCTCTCTGACCAGCTCGTAGACTTAGGCAGCCACCATCTCTGAGTCTCTATCAATCAGGCCAATACTTGTCACCCTGCCCTGGTGATTCCCTCAGATCCTGCCCCACCCAACTTGCATGACCACCCAAGCCACTTCTAGTGGCTTTTCTATTAAATGACCCGCCTTGGCTCATGCTGTGGATTTTCCTAAAATCTCATAAAGGTTCAACAAACTTAAACAAGCAGCATCTGGCCTCAGCATGTCCCATACCTCTTGGTGAGCAGCTCAAGCTTAGCACTAGTGGCAGGCAGCTTTGAATCATGATTTGGCCTCTTGAGGCACATCCAAGCCCAGTGTGGATGGCAGACATCTGTGGATTGCTTTGTGGCTCATGCCAGGTGGTTCTGGGCAGGGCCTAGGCTGCAGTTGAACTTGGCCTGTGGGAGGGCTCCTTCAGGAGGCCCTGGCCTGCATGTCCAGTGGCTGGCTTCAGTTTGAGCCAGAGCACCACCCGGGGTCACATCTAAGGACAACACACCCAAAGGCCAGACTGGGCAGGCACAAGAGCCCCGTTAAAATGAATCTTGCTCCATAGGGTCAGCTCCTGCACAACAACTCCTCCATTGTAGTCATGGCCAGTCCTCACAATCAATCAGCCCAAGGGTCAGTCTCTCACACTGACCTGCAAAGAGCAACCAAGGCTCAATTACAACAGGAGAGCATGCACAACCCATACAAAGCACACTCTTGGAACACCTGGCCCAGGTGACCAGGGAAGACTGTGCCACTGGGCCCCACAGCAAACCTACTACATGAGGCCACTCAATTAAGACCGAGAGACATATCAGCTCTACTAATATATAGAAATAAACACAGGAAGGTAGCCAAAATGGGGAGACAAAGAAACATTTCCCAAATGAAAGAACCAAACAAAGCTCCAGGAAAAAATAAAACTAAACAAAATGGAGACAAGCAATCTACCAGATGCAGAGTTCAAAACACTGGTTATAAGGATGCATATGCTCTCACTGAGAACTTCAACAAAGGGATAGAAAACATAAAAAAAGAGATGGAAAATGTAAAATAGAACCAGTCAGAAATGAAGACTACAATAACTGAAATGAAGAATACATCAGGAGGAATCAGTAGTAGATTAGATGAGCAGAGGATCAAATCAGTGATTTAGAAAAGAAGGTAACAGAAAATATCCAATCAGAACATCAAAAAAAAAAAGAATCCAAAAAAAAATGAGGATAGTTTAAGGGGGCCTCTGGGACAGCATTAAGCATACCAACATCTTCATCATAGGGATACCAGAACAAGAAGAGAGAGAGCAAGAGATTGAAAACCTATTTGAAGAAAAAATGACTGAAAACTTCCCTAACCTGGCAAAAGAAATAGACATACAAGCCCAGGAAGTATAGAGAATAGCCAACAAGATGAACCCAAAGAGGCCCACACCAAGACACAACATAATTAAAATGCTAAAGGTTAAAGACAAAAATCTTAAAAACAGCAAGAGAAAAGCAGTTAGTTACCTACAAGGAGGCTCCCATAAGACTGTCAGCTGATTTCTCAACAGAAACTTTGAAGGCCAGAAGGGATTGGCAGGAAATATTCAAAGTGATGAAAAGCAAGGACCTACAACCATGACTACTCTACCCAGCGAAGCTATCATTTAGATTCTAAGGACAGATAAATAGCTTTCCAGAAAAAGAAAAGCTAAAGAAGTTCATCACCACCAAGCCAGTATGGCAGGAAATGTTGGAAGGATGGAGGAGGAGGAGGAGGGGGAGGGGGAGGAGAGTGGGGGAGAGAAAGAAAAAAATGATAAAAAATATGAATAATGACATGGCAATGACTACAAATCTATCAACAAATACTTTAAATGTAAATGGATTAAACGTCTCAGTCAAATAGGGTGGGTGAATGGGTAAGTAAACAAGACCCTTACAGATGCCACCTACAAGAGACTTACTTCAGAACAAAAGACACACATAGACTGAAAGTAAAGCGATGAAAAAAGATATTTCATGAAAATGGAAACAAACAACCAATAAGGTGGGGTAGCAATACTTATACCAGAAAAAATAGACTTTAAAACAAAGTCTATAACAAGAAACAAAGAAAGACCCAGTTATCTCACTTCTGTGTATTTATCCGAAGAAACCCAAAACACTGCTTTGAAGGAGTGTGAATCCATATGTTCATTGCAGCATTGTTTAAATAGTCAAGATATGAAGGCTGCCTTCATGTCCATCGATGAATGAATGGATAAAGAAGAGAAGAGGTGATACACACACACACACACACACACACACACACGCATGGACACACACACACAGAAATATTACTCAGCCATAAAAAAAGAGTGAAATTTTGCCATCTGCAACAACATGGATTGACCTGGATGGTATTGTGCTGAATGGACTAGGTCAGACAGAGAAAGATAAATGCCATATCATTTCGCTTACAAGTAGAATCTAAAGAAGAAAATAAACAAACAAACAGAACAGAAACAAATTCATAGATACAGAGAACATTTTCATGGTTACTGGATGGGAGGGGATTGAGGGTTGGGTGAAAGGGATTAAGAAGTACAAATTGGTAGTTACAAGGTAGTCATGGGGATGTAAATTATAGCATAGGGAATATAGTCAACAGTATTGTAGTGACTATGTATAATGTCAGATGGGTACTAGATTTATCAGAGTGATTACTTTGTAAGTTATGTAAATGTCTAATCACTAAGTTGTACACCTGAAACTAATATAATATTGTATGTCAAATGTAACTGAAACTTTTTTTAATTTTTAAGAAAAAAAAACGAACGGTTATAGAAGAGAAATACAACATTCCACACATTCAAGAGCATAGCATAGTTACTACAGTAGGGACACCTTGCTTTCTATTTGACACTAGGAAAGGTCTCTCTAGCTCCTACTACAGTTGATTTTTCATACTCTAAACAACACATTCTCCCCTCCTAAATATGTGGGTCATTCATTCCACCTAGGACTTTTTGGGGGGTTACTGCCAAACCTACCACATTCTCCTTTGAGAAACATTCCCTACAGGTAGTTTCCCCAATATCATTGTATTTGTACTAAATTAGCTGGGCCTTTCCCTTGATCTATAGCTGATTTGACCCAGGGTGAAAGTTAACCCAAGGTAGATCAATAGAATTCTCTTTTCTGGTTCAGAACTTGGACTAAGAAATGCTACTTAAACTCTCTTAGGTACTTGCATATTTTTCTATGTA